GCACCCTTTCAAAGATTATTAGATCAGAGTGGAAACAAGACTGAAAACTGAAAAATGCCTCATTCATGTCCTTTTCATGTCAGAAACTATGTATCTGCATCACCAGTCCCATTTGCATGTAATATTTCTGGTTTCTATGTTTTCTATGTAATTTTTCTGTATCACAACATGCTCTCTTCTCACTTGCTAAAATTTTTACAGCTTGGACAAAGTTTACAAATACAAACACATAAAATATGACAAAAATAACCAAAAAGAAATGAGCATAAACTTCTCAAAGTTCCTGAACATCTGCTTTTTTGGATTTGAGGGATGATTGCTATGAACTTCTGGAGATTATCATCCTTAACCACCCTAAAAGATATGGTGACATCATACACACAGAAAGGCATCTGAGGTGATGACATGCTTCAGAGAAGCATTTTCTGAAAAGTACCATTAGATGGGTAGTAAATGGAGTGGAACAAGTCATTTGCAACAAGTAATTTTTTTTTTTTTTAATTCCATCTTCTTTCTTGACTAGAGAAATACCTGCAAGCAATTTGAAGTCTGCTTCTGCCTGGGTTCCAAGTGAGTCCAGTGGCACAGCTAAATGCTAAATAGTCTGTTGAGCGAAATAGTGAGGTGCCTGAGAGGAAAAGAAGATGCCAAGGGATGTATATGCCAAAAACTTTTTAATGTCAGATATAACAGGGCATTTACAATCTACACATTAATTACCTATAGAATGCAAATCAGAGGCCACAGTCTTTTTATTTCTTCCCTTTGTCCTCTATTTTTCTTCGTGGGAACATTCTTCATTACATTTCACTGTCTGGTCAGGAGATACCAGAGTAGGCTCTTGAGGGCATTGCATTCTGTTTGTGCTTCACCAAGATACTACTTTTGGCAGGATGTTTATTTCTTTTCTCCTCTTTCTTTGTTTTCTATGCCTATGCAGTATGTCTTTACAATTCTCTTGACTCGATATTCTGAGCCATTTATTTTCCTTTTCCCTCTCCCTGTCTTTTCTTACCCTTTATTCTATTCCCCCTCAGTCTCTCTTTTGTCTTGTGTCTCCTCTGTTGTTTTGACTTCTGGCTCTTTGCCATGAAAAGTAACTTCACTGGTTTATTTTCTTTTCCTTCTGTTTGGAGAAGGCTTGGAAGCTGTGGAACTCCTTTCTGGATCCTTTTATTCTGTTCGTGTCCTTGACCTACTTTTATCCAGTGTTCTTAGTGTAACAGTGGTTAGGAGTTTCTTATGCTTGTCTTGCATCTTGCATAAGAATGTTTTTCTCTCTGCTCTCCAAAATGTTCCACATTTCCAGTAGCTCCAAGCCTTCTTGCTTTGTAGAGCTTCTTTTTATGCCTTCAATGATTGACTCCATTGATTGACTCTTGTTCTCTTCTTCATGTGTCTTTTCCATTCTTCTTGTTCAGCTGGTTAATTTTCACATGTGGAGTTTGGGTCTTGATGCCAGCTTTTCTGAGGTAATAGAAAGGAGGGAGAGGAGAGCATCATAGGCCAGATATCCTAGAGATGGCATAGGAAAGAGCTGTATGGTGAGCAGAAGCTCTTCCATGAAGCTTGTAGGATTAAGGACCCAGTATAAGATTGCAGTCCAGTATTTTTTCATTATAATGTGGGTGGGAAATGTCAGCTGGCTCACTGCATCCTCTCCAAAATGTGTTAACATATAAGCAAGCTTGTAGTTTTCCATGTTATAAGTCTTACTAAGACACTATACCTGTAACACGATACTGTTCTGGCTTTATTGCATTCTATGCTAAAGCAATTTTAGTGGTTGACTTCAATGTAGATATTTCATAAATAGTGTGAAAAAAGGTTGCTGTAGTGGTATGGTTTCATTTGATATTTTATGGAATCACTTGAACTACAGCTCTGTGTAATTAAAACGTTACCTGGGACGTGCATATAGTATAGTGTATTTAATAGTGCATCTGTCTGCAAGATTCTAAAAATCTTGTTAAACTTTTTGGCTAACATTCCCATTATCTCAAAAAAATCTTTATTTTCCTCATTTGGATGAGCTGAAGGGAATTAAAGCAAAATAGTTTCTAATTTGTCAATCAGTTTAGTATGTTCCACACAGGCTCCTTTTGGTAGGCTATGAAGTATTCCCATGCTATAGTTATCCAAGTCCCAAAATACCGTGATACCCTGGAGAAGATCTTTTTCTATGACCGGGGCAGATTGGGAAGATCCCTTTGAGATTAATTAAGACAAATTTAAAATAGCTCAGGGGTTTATGGAAGTCCTTAAAATAAAGTCTTCCTGAAGGAACCTGTACCAGTTAAAGTTACCTACTTAAGGATGTACAGTATATTTAAAGCAATTTGAATTTGTTTCTTCCAGACATTAATTACAGAGTGTTGTGGTTTAACCCGGCAGGCAGCTAAACACCACACAGCCATTCTCTCACTCTCCGCCCCCCCAGTGGGATGGGGGAGAGAATCGGGGAAAAAAAAAGTAAAATTTGTGGGTTGAGATAAAGACAGTTTAATAGGACAGAAAAGGAAGGGAAAATAATAATAATAATGATAAAAGAATATACAGAATAAGTGATGCACTTTGCCATTCCTCACCCCCCACCGACCGATGCCCAGCCAGTCCCCGAGCAGCGGCCACCGCTCCCCGGCCAACTCCCCCCAGTTTATATACTGAGCATGACGTCACATGGTATGGAATGTCCCTTTGGCCAGTTTGGGTCAGCTGTCCTGGCTGTGCCCCCTCCCAGCTTCTTCTGCACCTGGCAGATCATGGGAAGCTGAAAAGTCCTTGACTAGTATAAACACTGCTTAGCAACAACTAAAACATGGGTGTGTTACCAACATTATTCTCATCCTAAATCCAAAACACAGCACTGTACCAGCTACTAGGAAGGAAATTAACTCTATTCTAGCCGAAACCAGGACACGCAGGCAGAAATTTAACAAATGCTAAATGGCATAATTGTGTTATAGTAGAAAGGTTTCTCCAGTAAAAAATTACTTAGAAGTTATATTGAAAGTAAAGGCAGCATTTCAGAATCTCAAGAAAATTCATAAAAAGCAGTAAAATCTTCACTTAGTTCTATCAGACAATAAATATCACTAAACACTTATTTTATTGCTTGGAGGGAATTGTTTCTTTTAACTTTTTTGTTATTGTCCATTTTCATTCAGTAGTTTCTCGATTGTATGAGTATATGGTTTTGTATAGCACCTAAGAGGGCTTGTTAAAAGCTCACTTTTGGTGAAGATAGAGAGTTTGATATTTATGCAATCAAAGTTCAATGTAGGATGGGGCTCTGAGATAGGGTGCATCCGATTCTAAGGCTCACTCAGAGATGTCAGGTAAGGTGAAATGTAATCAATTTTGCATTTACTACTGCAGGGCAAGCTATGTCATCACCTTTGATATGCAGTCATACGATCTTCAGAAATATATTTTGTCTAACACAGTGTACCTTTCAAACAATGTCACTGAGCTGATCAATCAAATGGTGAGAGATATTTAATAAACATGCTTGTAATTCAAGCCAGTAACATTCTAACCATTTTAAAGAAGATACATTTGGTGAACAGTAGTTCGCAGTGCTCAAATTCAGGATGTGCTCTGTATATTTATTTAACTATTTAACACTTCCAAACAGAGGAAAGCTATATAGGATAAAATCATAACCCGAATTTGACCATAAAATATTCTGAATGTTACTGTATGTTTAAAAAAACCCCACCCTTCTGTTCTTCATATCTAAAACAAGTTAATGGAAACAACTAGAAATAGGTATATAGAATTGAAATCTTTTAAGTGTTTTGATTCTTTACACAGCTTGTGATTGTTTGGTGTTGGTTGCTTTTAGAAGAGACAGAATAGCTTTACTTAGAAGTATATATATAAACATAAACCTGCTAACATAGGCTCTGATGAAAATGACAGTGATTGCTTTCAAACAAAAAAAAATTTCAAGATATGTGAGAAACATTTGAAACTATGCCTAGCAAACTGTGCCAATCATTTGAAAATGATCTTATCCAAGTATGTGTTAATTTTGCACCTGTGTTCATCAAATATTTTAATTCACTTTTAAATGCACTGAGGTTTCTTTAATCTTTGAAGTGAACATTTGCCAACAGTAAATATATTGCAGATCTGACACAGGAAGGGGGAGAGGAGAGTTCATATAGGTTTAGGGTATAGTTGTATTAAAAATGCAGTAAAGGCCAGCTTTTTATTTGAGGTTTTATAGCTTCTGCTGTAAATAATGGCATAAATGACACATATTGTAGAGCTATGGCATATGTTGCTTTTGAAAGAAAGACATTTTCACTTATTCAGTGAATTGAGGCCTCATGTTACTCCCTGCAGACCATGTCATACCGCTTTCCAACCTCTCAGGACCAATGGCTTATCCAAACCAAACATCTGCTTTTCCATTCAGTGCAATTATTCAGTGTGCTGCTGGGGGCAGATGGTTGTTAATTGGCAGATCATTAATGTGGCAGGCCACTCTCTCTTTCTATCCTTAGAAAGGTCACAAGGTGTTAAGTTCCCTCACTCCAGGCTGGTAACATGCATATCTTTTGATTCAGTTGGATTTTTTATGTATAACTGCAATTGAATTACTTGATACAATTATGGAGGAGCTTTTAATTAAACCTTTTTTCCTTTAAAAAAAAAATATGTTTTTACAGTGTAAGAATGATGCAACCAAGAGATGGGTTAGTGTCAATTACACTGTAGCTGTCAGAAAGTTTGAAAGCTGAAATCTGGTGAGTATGAATCCTAATCAGATAGCAATGAGGATGCTTTGCTGCTACTCTAACACAGTCTCCATCTATATGTGTCAATTTTCTGCAGAATTTAATTTAGCCCTAATGATGAAGAAATCTCTCTATTCACACAGTCCTGTCAAGTCAAACTTTGGACAATCTAAATGAAGTAGACGAGGGCTTCAGGGAGAAGTGGCAGAGTGACATGCTGAAGGGATTTCACTTTCTTTTTCATTCACGCAGGTTATATTGAGGAAGCCTGTATCATTCCATGTCCCTCAGACTGCAAGCTCAGTGAGTGGTCCAACTGGTCTCGCTGTAGTAAATCTTGTGGGAGTGGGGTAAAAGTTCGGTCTAAATGGCTCCGCGAAAAACCCTACAATGGTGGAAGACCCTGTCCAAAGCTAGACCATGTCAATCAGGTAATTTGATTTATATTTACATTATTGATATAGCTTTTTCCATACCTTAGATAACCCTCTTAGCTGTATTGTTTGTTGATGTAGAAAAGCTATACAGCATAAGGGGCAGATGGAGGTAGAAGGAGGAGTGTGTTGGCTTAGATTTCCTCAGTCGGCATAGGATCTGCCTTCATTACTTCCTCATCTGCAACAACTTAGCACATTATCTGAACTGCAGATTGAAGACAATAAAACATTCTTACATGCAGATTGTGAAGACCACGTTTCTGAAGATCTTCTCCTACAATGGGTAAAATGTCTCATTACAGATGCTCAAACTGGTAAGATTCTTAGTGTCATTCCCCCACCATCTTAGATCAGAAAGCAAATTAAAACTTCTCAAACACTCACACAGTATCATCCCAGTGTCCCTTAGTGGGTTTTAGTCAAGCTGGAGCTTGACTTTCCGGGTACACTTGCCCTGGCACTGCAGTTCCAGTCAGGAATGCAATTCTGAAGTCAATCTCCCAGTTGTTCTACTAAATGCACTTGATTTTCCAGTATGGAGCAATCTGGCTGGACAGTCTGGATCCTCTTCAAGTGAAACTAAGCCAGAAAATGTGATCCAAGAGCACACTGGGAGTGCTTTGACCACTAATGAGCATTTAGTCTTTGGGACCAAGTTTAGCACTAGTCCAAGTCAAACCCCTGAATCTTGTTTGCTCCTGTTTGCTTGGAGAGTTTTAGAAAGAAAAATATTCCTTGACAATTAACTTATGCTCTTCAAAGTTGATTTATATTCATATGACTGTTGAATTTAATTTAGTCTGCAGAGGCATGTTAAACAGCCACACAATCTTCTCTGTAAATATTAAAAAAAAAAAAGAAAAAAAAATGTGCTGTCAATTTACATTTGAATAAAAAGGCATGTACTTGATATTATCCTATTGACATTTTGCTAGCACAGAGTGAAATGGCTTGTTGATCTAATTTTCTACTTTAGGGAATGTAATTAATTCTAATTTAGAAAATAATAAGTGTTAAACTGCAGCTAATAAACTAAGTTTGTGACCTACTTTAACAAAATACAAACTAGAATGAGGGTTGCTGGATTTGGGTCAGCATGTAAATATGCTTTAAATTAGGAGGAATGTGTGTCAATAGGAGCAAATTATAGTCTATACAGAAGTCTTTTTCCTTCTTTAATATTCATGTAGTACATAATAGGCTCGTATTTTTCTGCATCAAAGGTGATTTTGCTAGAGGTCTGTTGGCCCCTTGTATGCAACACTATTGCCCTCTATCGGTACTTTAACTCGAATTTGATTTGTTGCAAAGTTACATGATATTTGCCAAATAATAATAGATGATTCAAAATGTAATTACTGTAAAAATAAAATTGAAATATAATACTTTCATGAGAAGGGAGCTCTACAGATAAGATAGGAATGTCGAAGAATATAGAGGCTGTATCTTTCAATTTTAAATACATTCACTGTTAATTCAGAAACATTCAGGGAATACAGCTGCATTCTAATTTTGAGTTAATTATTTAATCTAAATGTGATCCACCATTCATTCAGCTGGAAAACTACTGACTCTTCAGAATATTTATTTCTATTATTAAATATAATTTGGTTTATTTATATGTTTATTACTTACATGTGTAACATGCTTATTTGCATACATACAAAGCATAATGATTAGACTGGGTCTTTGGTGCCCACAAGTATGTGGAAGATGATGTACAGAGGGGCTATGCTGTAAGTTGAGATCTAGGAATTATGAACTCTGAGGAAAGACTGCAACGTGTTGTCTAGCCCATGGAAGAGAAGATGGGAAGGAGAATGCTGTCAGTCTGCTGGCATGTACATAACAGGCTGTTGCAAAGAAGGAGGAAATAATCCATTTTCCATGGCCATCATAGATAGGATAAAAAGCAGTAGGCTTAGTCTGCTGCAAGCAGATTTGGGTTAAGCCTTGGGAAGACTTTCTAATGGTAAGGCTGGTGAAACATTGAAATAACGTGCTTAAGACATTTGTCAAGTTTTAAGAGCAAGTTGCTGAACGTCTCTCAGGGCTGACATGTATGACTGTATCTTGGAGGGGGACTGAACGCAGTGAATGCTAGATGTTTCATTGAGTGTCTTTCCTCCTGGGCCATGCATGCCACGGTGACTCCCAAACCACACTCCAACAGAGTGAAGCTTGCTCAGTACCCACTTCACTAGGCTAAAAGTCATCATAATTACAATAATAGAGTCAGGTTTATTATAAAATCATGTCAATGGCCTTCGGAGGATTACAAATGAAGAGGCTAATCTGAGACTGTTAGAGAAAATAAGGACATCCCTCTCTTCATTGGCTGCAGGCATTATTTGCCCCCTTATCCAGCAGGTGGGTATGCAATCCTTACACCACCCAACTGCCATGGCCTGCAGTCATAGTTACAAAAATGCCAGTAGAGTCAGGAGAACACTAAACACATGCAATGCAATATAGAGTTCTGCTTTGTCTTTCTGGCAAGATATCAAATTTTTATGTTACTGGAAAGGCTGTTGAATATGCAGGGTTTATGTATTTCTTCTTATGCCAGCCAGGGTGAGACATATAGAGATATTTCCCTAAATCAAGGCTTCTCTATTCTCATTTTGGTAATACTGGACAAGAATAAATAAAGTGCCACTTCCCATGTGACTACAAATTGTGCACTGAGTCCAGTACCTTCCTTAACATTCATTTACACCACCCATCTTTATGCCTGAGTTAATGCTTATGTAGTTCAAAGAAGGCCCAAATGTGCTGACTGTGCTGGTCTTCTTGTGCATGGGCTGATCAGCTGCGTAGTGATATATCAGACTCTCTACGCATTCATTGTTCAAGGCATTATTTTTTTGTTGTGACTGGTGGTAATTTGTTGCAGGTTAACTGATAAACTATCATCCCATCAGCCCACTTTTTCTACCCAAGCAGTGTTGCTGAAAAGAAATCAAGGATTTGTTGAAGACAATGTCTTAGATTGTCTAGAAATATTAGTTGTGCTGACTCGATACCCAGAATGATATGTGAAGTTAGCTGGTATAAGATAATTTTGAGGCAGTGGGCTTTAAGTAATCTATGCATAATTAAGATACTCAATGAAGGACTTAGGAACTTTGGAAGGATGAGAACTGCCAGTTTCTTTTATTCCCCTGAATCTATTGCACTTAATGCTGTCAGAACAATTTCAATTAATAGGGAAGTCCAGTATGCTCTCCAAAACCACTGAGGATTTTCTCTTGTCTTAGGGAAAGCTGGATTCCCTACTGTGTGAAGAGTTGATGCTCATTATAGGCAAAAAGGGAAAACAATTTTATCGTGTGTTATGGATGGAGAAAGAGACTAGCTAAGTTACAGTCTCTTCCCACTAATTGTGATTTATAAACTTATTTTCTTCCAAGGGCAAACTTCTTGCAAAAATGCCTCATGATAGCAAGGGAGAACCAAGAGTTAAAATTGGATGCCTTTTGCTTCGCAGAAGTCATAGAATATTATTTGTAATAAAAGCTAAATGAATGCCATTTAAATACTTGTGCTTCATTCTAATCATTCTTTCTTTTTATCTTTGTTTTTTATTTTGGGTTCATGAAAATACTTTCTTCAGGCTCAGGTAAGAGTTTCTAAAATAGAGAGATAACCTTAACATGTGCTTCCTGATTGTGCTCCAATGTTTATGTTGTCTGTCCTTTTTCTGTAATGTATGTTTGAGAAAATATATGGAACACTGTATAAATTACTATATGAGATACTATTTCAAATCTGTATTCAAATCTAAACTTAATACTAATGCTGGTACATGAATATATTAGAGTGATTTTAAGCATCCACAATGAAACAGAAAGTGAACCAGTATATATTGGTATAATTTACCTTGAGCTCACCTCTTTAGAAGTACAAAAACCCCACAACTAATAACAGTGGGATGGAATAGTTGAGGAGAGATGTGAAGGATAGAAGTGAAGTTTTAGCAGAGTTTTAGCAGCATTTTTCTAAAAGGTATACTCATGAACTAGCCTAGTTACAGATTTTATATGTGTTGATGTTATTGGTGGAAATGGCATATCATGGGCTTAGTGGCAGAGAAAACCAGGGAATCTGTCATTAGATGTCTTAGCTTCTGACTTTTTGTTATTTCTATCAAGTATGTTATCTGTGTTATTACTACAGCCTCTAAATCAGCAAGTTTACATTTGTTATTCTTACCAAAAAGAGCATTAACCTTTTTTTGCATGATCACTGTTGCATGTTTATCTTACTTGTGTGCAACAAAACTGACGCTCGATGTGGATTCCAGGTATATGAGGTAGTCCCCTGCCACAGTGACTGCAGCCAGTATGTATGGGTTACTGAGCCCTGGAGTGTCTGCAAGGTGACCAATGTGGACTTAAAAGAGAACTGTGGAGAAGGTGTTCAAACGAGGAAAGTCAGGTAAAACAGTATTGCTCCTCCTTCATTTTAGAGAACCTTCACTTTCGGTCATGGCTGTATTTAATTTGATGTAATTCTGTGTAATGTATAGTGTTAAGTCCAGCCATAGTATACTGAACCAGAATCCTGGCTGATGTAAATCAGAATAGCTTCAGAGTGTGCAATATGGCTTTATCTACTGGTTATGGATATAGACCTTGATTCCTAGTTTATAAACTAGTGTATATTGTACTTATACTACTACAAACACTGCAATGTATGATTTTAATGCTTTTCTGAAAAGTGAAATGGTCCTCTTTCTGTATGAAACTATGATTTAAAAAACCCTTTTAAGTACATATGCACTTGGGAATAATAGTTAGACTTATTACCAGAAAAAGTGGCAGAAGTGAATGAAGTGAAATAGAAAAATCCAGAAATCTTCTGTTGTTTATTGAACCTGATGTAGGCATCTTGTGTGCTTGCTCATCACCCTAGAGCTCTAATCAAAGGTTAATTAAAATTAGTCTCACATGGCGTGGTCCAACAACAAGTAAAGCAGTACATGAAGTTTGGGTTGGTTGGGGTTTGTTTTGTTTTTTTTAATTGGCTAACTGCAAAACGACACACAATTTGAGATTATAAATCTAAATAATAAAGCATAACGTGAATTCAGTTTGAAGGTCCAAAATGAGACCTGTATACAGTTTTCCCTGCCTCAAGTGCTTAGAAACTGGCACATTTAAACAATTTTGTTCACAATAGCACTGTTTCCTCAGTGTAACCATTTGCTTCAAGAAGGTGGAAGTCTTAATCTTTGCTTGACCAAAGTTAGAAAGACTATGCATAACTGTTCTTACACAGTAGCATCTAAACAAATTCCAATAAGAATACTCTTAACAAAACTCCAATATGAAAAATCAAAATTAATCAGTGTTTATATTGACAAATAGACTTTGGCACTACCATCAAAGATAAAGAAAGTGTTTTCAGCCCTATGGGACTAAAAACATCTAACTTTTCATTTATTATCACATATTGCCATTAAATTACTAATTCCACAAGGCTAATATATGCTCATGATGTATCTTTTGTGTTTACCTTAGAACAGAGAGTGTTCCAAAAATTGCTTTAGTCTGATAATGTAAGATATTTGCCAAAAAATTAATGTGGTCAAATGAAAGAAACTCCGAATATTTATCTGTGTGTGAAAAGCTTCCTATTGATACAATCTTTTCTCTTGCAATTCTGGGAAACAGATGTAAGCCTCTTAATCTGAATGATCCTAGTTATGTACTAGTTGGTCTTCTGCTGACAGGTGGAAGGGATACATTAAAAGTAGATGCCACAGCATTGAAAATACTGTGGAATGAAGACTGTCATCTTCTGGTCTACAAAACTAAGTATATTCATTTCTCATCTTAACTGGGCCTCCACCTGCTAATTTAATATAATGGTAATTAAAAAGCATCTGTGTAAATTAGGGATTAATGCTAAGAATATAAAATTTTAAAAGTTTTACTATTTCTAGATTTAAAATTATAATCTGAAGCATGCACAAAATATGTCTGAACTATAGATGATTCGCATTATTGTGGCTTAGAGGTAAGCTAATGTCAAGTAAATCACCTCCCAGAAACTCTCAGCAAATCACTGATAGGGACTGCCTAAAATCTGTGCATTTCTGTATATGGCTGTCATCTGTAAAAATGAGGATTATTTTTGGCTCTTCAGCTTTTCTTGGCTATTCATAGATCAATACTTAGTTCTGTTACTTCAATTACTTCACGATTATTATGTGCTGACAAAATGTTAAAATGCTTCAGAATACTGTGGAACAGAGTTACTGTCCAAAATCCACGGCAAATGCAGTTTATGTGCAGTTCTTTTTTCCAGGTGCATGCTAAACACTGTGGATGGTCCTTCTGACACTGTAGAGGACTATCTGTGTGATCCTGAAGAGATGCCACTTGGTGCTAGAAAATGCACGTTACCATGTCCTGAGGACTGTGTTATGTCTGAATGGGGATCGTGGTCTCGATGTTCTTTGGTAAGCAGTATACTGAAGTGTAACATTTATAGTTTTAGGAGGATACTTTAAATATATATACATGACGTATTGTGCAAAGATGCTGAATTGAGCAGTGATTACACATGTAAATATCTATCTTTACTGTCATCTTTAGGATCATTGATAATTGGTTGCAAATAAAGTGTGCCAGTATTTTCCATTAAGTGAAATTGTTCCAAAACACAAAATATAATGTTCCCAGTGGTCATTCTTCAGTGTGGGGTGGGTTCTGTGTGGTGGAATAGCTTTAGCAGTGGTTTGTGAGTCCGTCTTTGAGCCTAGCTGTGAGCCTCTCCATAGCAGTGCAGTCACTGTACTAAAAATGTCACTACTCTGTAACAAGCAAAGTCTGTAGATCAAGACTGAGCATAGAAAGATAATTTTGGGTCTCCTCTCCCCTTCCTGCCAGCAATTTCAAAAAGAAATGCCAAAAAAACCAACCCAAACATAAAAAAGTGTTTCAGGACCTCTGAGTATTCGGGCTCTGGTGCATGACATTATAGCATTTGGAAAGTGAGCATCTCAATATCCAGTTTATGAGTGAAATAGTTCCAGAGCATTAGTACTGAAATACAAACTAGTTAGGAAAGTACCGAGATGTTACCAGGTTAGACGATATTTCACCTTGGGTGGTACCAACATGAAAGAGCAGACTAAATTGTCTCTGAAATAACAAGGAAATGGTTTCTCTTACGCAACAGCACAAGCCTGTTATTTTACATTTGTGTTTTGTGAAGGGATTACTTGAAAGGTTGTTATAATGTTGCATGAAAAGGTATCAGGGTGCCAAAATATCAAAGCTGTTTCCAATCTTCCTTTCAAGCCATGCAATGGAAGTAGTGTCCGTGAAAGGTCAGCTGAATCCCTGAGACAACCAGATGATGGAAAGTCTTGTCCTGCTGCCACCGAGACAGAAGTTTGCACTTTGAACAAAAACTGCTACCACTATGACTACAACGTGACAGGTATTTGTGGTGTTATGCTCTAGTGACAGCCTGGGACTATGGCTTACTTCCATTCACCTTACAGGACAGATTTTTCAGTTTTCTGTTCTTATCCGGAGAGAGCTGTGGAGCATGTACTGAAAACTGATTCGGGCTATTTGATCCAGATAAAATATTGCTGGAGGCTTTGCAACTTGGGTGAAGTGTGCATGCAGGAAAAATATTTCTCCTATCATTTCGTGATTTGCTTAAAATCCATGCAGACGAAACCAAATATGAACTTTTCAGGAAAGCATCATGGCACTGACTATTTGCAGTAAAAGTCGCTGCTTCCAAAAATGTGTAGCAGCTGGGCTCCATGAGCCTTTGCATATGTAAAAGTTGCTTGTGAGGATTATTTTAGGCCATCAGAATTAGAATTAGGTGGGAGACTGGATCATTATGAGTTTTATCTAAAATGTCTACTACACAAATTAATTCCTTATTTCCAGACTGGAGCACATGTCAGCTCAGCGAGAAGGCTGTCTGTGGTAATGGTATCAAAACACGGATGCTCGATTGTGTTCGCAGTGATGGCAAATCGGTTGACCTGAAGTACTGTGAAGAGGTGAGTGGGTACCTGTGAGTAAGCTCTCTTCTGATGGTGCTAATTAATGCTGAGCCAACTGAGCTATACAGCATGTAACCCATCTTCACCAGATGTTTTGCAACACTATTCATGGATTGTTAAGTACCTTTTAAATGAACTGTGCCATCAACAGTGATTTTTATACAATTTCCTTCAGTTACTTTTAAGTGCCTCCGTGAACGTATGCTAATTATTATGTCCTGAAGGAAATGACTTAGAAACAATAATTAATAAAGTAGATTAAAGGTAATAAATCTTAATCAGAACACTAATCATCATTCTAATTTGATACAATTTCTGCATGGAGCCTTGGACAGCTGCCAGTATCAATCATTTACTCAATGTGTTGGAAAATACTTTTCACGTGCCATTCTGCAGCTGGGCTGAATGCTAACTTCTTGTATCCAGCTGTGCAGTGCAAAAGATACCCAAGCTAGTGTGAAAAAAATGTGTAGCATGAATGAAAATGTGTAGCATGAATGCAATATTAAATAGGAGCATATATGGAGAACTAACCAGCAGACAGGACCCCTTGAATTTTGAAAGAGCCATTTTGCAAATGTTCAAACGAACTTCAAATTTGACAGCACTGGTTTTCTGACATTTTGTGTGTTGGTCTTAATGTTTTCAATTGCATGGAGATAGTAATGTGAAGGAAAATGGCAAGACAATACAAGTGTTACATTAAGGGCAATCCTACATGCTTTTCTGATGGAAAGTAACTGAACTTGTTTCAGCTGCCATTCCTCCACCACATGACATCAGAAACAAAATCACTTGCGGTGGGGGACTAAGGTAGAGCGGCCTCCACAGCAGCTTTGGTACCAACACCTTTTCTGTTGGATATTCCTGGCTAGCAGCTGCTATTCAGGATGTGCCCATAGAGAAGAGTCTCATCAGAAGTGGAGGGAGTCAGGAAACTCATCGTGTACTTTGGACTATAGTTTTGTACTGGTGTATCTGACCTACTTAGGCTTCTCCAACCCCCTCCAACATCCTGGATTCCTGAATCTCTAAGTTCTTCACAAAGAGTTTCAGCTGAGGCTGGCACCCTCCTTTTGTCCCAAGTTCCTCCTTCACACGTAGCTCTTGGGTTTATAATTTAATCTAATAATTTGATCACTTACGTCTCAGGAAAAAACTCGGGATCTGGCTATCTATCAACAAGTTTCTGTGAAGTTAATAGGGGAATGCATTAATGCATTCTGTTAATGTATTAAAGCGTTAAAAGAAGAAAAAATTTGGCTCTCGGGTTATTTGTAAGAGACTGCAATATTGATTGATTCACACCAAGACATGACATAAAATATCCATCCACATGAATATTTCCACAGAAAAAAATACGCTTTTTTAGATTTTAAGGGGAAAGATTTCTTTTACCATAAAGCCAAGAAATTATTCCTGTTGTTAAAGATTTTGAGCAACATTTAGAACAAATTATTACATTTTACACTGAAATCTCATTGCAGAAAACCTCTGGAGCTTTCCTGCATTTAAGAAATGAAAGTTTATTACTCAGAGAAATAATTAGGGCAACAAGATAATATCTCAAAAGCTATTTGCCATAAATGACTGGCCAACAGACATCACTGCAGTGGGGTCCTGGCTTTATCAGCAACCACTGTGACACAGTCTTATTTGCCTTTTTGATTTGCTAGACCATATAGAGATACATCTTCCTGTAGAAAGCTCTGATCCGCTCCCGTCATACTGTTAAGACTGTTTGTTGCATTATGGATGTGTAAGCAGTGGTACAAGGTCAAAAGCTGATCCAATAACTATGAGGAGTAAAACCTGTTAACCTGATTAACAAGAAAGCCAAGCTGTTCAGATCTTACCAGAACCTTCGCTCTAAAGATGTGAAAGCCAACTCTGTGACCTTCCAGGTCATGAGAAGAGAGTATTCAAGAAATTAGCAAAATGTGAATAAATACTATGCACTTCATGCTCATCTAATCACAGATGATCCTTCAAGGTGTTTTTCTTTTGCCATGTTTTTGCATTATAAGGGCAGTGCAGAAAGATTAAGTGAAGTTCAAAATAAGGTGCATGTGGTTAGAAAAGTTGATGATAAGAGAAAGATGAAATAATTTTGTAATGACTTAGCTAATGGAATTTTCCCTGGGCTGTCATAAAACTTTATACTAGATGTGTGAATAAAACAAAAGGTTTGTTTAATTTATATGTACATACATTTACAGAATTATGATTCTTATTATTATATGCGAAGAAGAGAGATCGGAATAGCTAAACCTATCCTGATCCCTAAGAAATGAAGACCCATGATTGCAATGTCTGAGTTCCTATTTAATATGTGGTTCAAGAAACTGATAAAAGCCATGTATAAAAACCCCCTTCACGCTGTCTTTTGACTATCACCATCTCCAGCTATGAGCATCAGCACAGTTATATACTAACATTTCTTCCGAGCCCCTGTGTTCTGGTTTCCTAATGCGTCCATATGATCTTGTGTTTGTTTCAGTCAATCAGCTAGCCAGTCATCCTGATTACTGCCAGGATAAATCAATTTCTAGAGCTTATTTCCAAGTCCTCAGTATGTTAACATAGTTCCCTTCAAACTCTCAAGGCATAGTAATACTGGATTACTTGGTCTCTAACTCTACAAAATTAGCACATCACAAGAACTCGGCTTGTCTTTTTCTTGAGTATTTGAAAATCAAATCACCTAAAGCAAGCTGGTCCTGGTCATATTCATATTTATGGGCTTATTTTTATTCATTTACCTTCAATTAAAGATCAGAAAAACCTAGAAACCAGCAGTTTTGTCTGCGTTAGAAAGCAAACTTTTTTGGTTTTTTTGGCAAACAGTCTGCTTGTCAGATTACATGATTAACTTCCAGCAGAGGTTAATCTGCAGTGCCAAACATTCCTATAAACACAGATACTTTTTGTGGATCACAGGGTTTATAAAGCATGCTGGTCTGGCAGCCTGCTGCCCCTGGTGTGTGTGACCAGGAGTACAGGGCGCTCAGCGGTAGCTTTCAGTGTAACTCCTCCAGTACTTGCCATTCCTGAATCAGAAACCACAACTCATCCAGAACAGAGGCTCTTTCAGGTAAGAGAGCTACTGAACGCTTTTCCAAATGTTTTCTAAGCTCTTCAAGGTGAATTGTGGTTCATCAATTGAAGGAAGGAGAGGGATGAGAAAAGAATATGTGAATATCAAATTGCAGCCTGCCAATTGTTCCTCAAATCTATTTCAGCAGCACTTCATTATCTTAAACATGCAAATGGCAGATCACTGTGGGTAATCTGGCCTTCAGCTTTCTCCTCTTCACCTTTAATATCTCTCTTGGGCTTTTCCTTCTCTAGCTGCCAAAGTCCAGCTGAGAAGGCCAGTCTTGAAAGAGAGCAGTCCTGGTATTAAAATTGGCAGGAATCAATTCAGCAGGCTTTAAAGCCTTTGCTCAGAAGATTTGACCCAAATATAAATTTCAAAGATGGTTCTTTAGTTTCCTTATTATCCAAATTCCAGATTATCCAAAGGTTTCAGATGTTGCCTGTGTGCGATAGCTGGATAATCAAGGTTATACTGTACCACAGAGAAAAGTCAAGAACTCGTTCTTTGATGTATAAAACAGAACAGAGGTCTAAAACCTCATTTGTCTCAATAAATGGTACTGCAACTGCAAATTTAAGACTTGGTGAGTCTATCAGGGTGAGGCATTTCCAGTACTTGTGGTAGCTTATTTATGGAGGACATGTTAATGTTGTGCCTAATAATTGCTCTATGCTTGCATTTAGTAGGAAATAGTGTTTTTATTTCCTTTTTAAAGTCTTAACTGCTGGTTTTATGTCATTAACCTTTCCAGTCATTAAAATTAATAGGTTTTGAACTGTCTAGTTTGCTTTTTTTTTTTTTTAAACTGTGGAGATTTTATCTACTTAAAGATACCCACTACCTCCTGGGATTCTGAAAAGCCTCGATGATGATCAAGGTCCACTGGTGAGGGCCAATGAAGAGGACAGTCTTTTATGCTAGGAAGCTGCAGATCTGTTCATATTGGCAGGATTGATTTTCTTTCACATTTTATATCATACACACTATAATCGGCCTATCCTTTTAACTCATTCTGAAGCTGTGCAGGCTGCAGGGATTGTTATTGTCATGCTAATATTTTTGCCACCAGTAGTATTCCATCGTGCATCATATATTCTCATGTGTGTTAGAACATCTCTTTTCTTCCTTGGATGGGGAAAATCTGGAGCATGGGAGTTTATAAGAACACAGAAATGGCTTTACAGGATCAGACCAAAGGACCATGTGGCCACTGTGCTGTCTCCAAGTATGGCCACAAAACTCTTCCTTCCCTGTGGGTATTCCATCATTTGTTAGTGTTAGGTTGACTCCTGACCAGAGAAGAGCTCAGTACAGAATGTATTTTTGGGAATACATGTGAGTCTGGCTATTTTCTGTGTCCCCTTCTCTCATGCTCCTGCAGCATTTGCGGCTTTTACTTTAGGGATGTTAGAGGATTCTGCTTTTTGCAAAGCTTTTCAGAAAAATGTGCAAAGCTATATTTTTTTTAGAACAAATCGTTGTCGATGTCATGTCAATATTTTTGCATACAGTAGAATGGATAGCATAATATATATAATAAACTTACACACCACCTTAGGAAAAAAACAAGAGAGGCATAAGCAGATTTCTAAGGAAGAGTAAGGAGGACAGACATACACAAGTTTCCCTTTACTCCTCTCGCAGCCTCCACCTGTTGTCAGCTCTTGGACTGCATTTGCCCAGTGTGGTTTCTGTGTGTTTAAACCTTCAGATTTCTCTTCCATTAACTTGTTCAGTCTCTCTTGAGCTTGTGTAAACTTTTAGCATCTGCCACATCTTCTGACAAATAAACTGACTATCCGATACATGTTCATCCTCCTCCTTTTGTTAGTTTTGAACCTGGTTCCTAGCATCACTTGAATTCAGCTGTTAATAGCTGTTGGTAGTTCAGTATTTATATATTCCTCTTTCAAAATACTATATTGATACTTCATAAATTACTTTGTCCTTTACCTATTGTATAAAGTAATAGTGTAGAGCTGAAGCCCTCCATTTATAGGCTCTAATTTAGAAAATAATGGATGAAAACAGGATTTAAGCATGTATTTAAAAATCAGCATATGCATTACAACTGTCTTGAAGTGAGATTTTTAAATGTCCTAATTGCTTCACTTTTTATTTAGTAATTACTTCATGCTTGCGTAAAGCTTTAGTTGTCTTAGAGTCACCGTGTCCAAATGCGTACCCTGCACCGATGACACAGACTGGGTGTTACATGCTGACCACTGAATATTTTATTTTAGCTTGGTTTGGAGAAGACATGGCAAATGAATATGTCCTGTGTGGTGGAATGTCCTGTGAACTGCCAGCTCTCTGACTGGTCCCCTTGGTCTGAGTGCTCTCAAACATGTGGCCTTACAGGTCAGTATGTAGCTTTGGCATATTTTAAAGACTGAGCTTTTTTTGTTTGTTTGTTTAATAAAGGCAATAATATCTCTTTTTGCAGAACTAGAAAATGTAGCTAGCTAGGGAGAGTGATGATCCACCCTATTCATGGAAATAATATGCTTCAGTGAGGCTGTTCTGACTGAAGATAATGAGAATTTGGCTCAGAATAGTTTCTGACTCTGGGAACAAAGTGAGATATGATGAATGATATATTGAGACAAAAATAAACACTGATGTGAATATTTATTTTTCAGCTGGTGGGAGGAGGAAGAGAAGGGAGGGGTTTCCTCTTAAGTTTCATTTGTGCTGAGTTTAGAACAACTAAACTTGCAGAAGAGCACAATAATTAAAACCAACAAATTTACTCACTGCAGAATTCCATATTTTTAAACACAGAACAAGGGCGGGGGGACAAGGTACTTTCACTGTGACCACATTAATTTGTTTTTTCCAAAATGTTGCTAACCACCGTCTAAGTTTTTTTCAATCAAATCTATGTCAGAGAATGGATATCAAAGGCACATTCTAGTTATGGAGGAACTGTTGCTATTTATTTGCACTGATATGTCTCAGAATAAGGACCTGAAAGCATCATTGTGCCAGGCAGGCAACTAAGGTATACAGACTACTGAAAGAGAAGGGTAGAAGCCCATCTATGAAACCTCTTCCTTCTGTAATCATGTCTGGAATATGTCACTACAGATATTGGATGGTTAGCAGCATATGGAATCCAATTTCAACTGCTGGGCTCAGAGTAAAATGATATTGCATCTTTTTGTGCTCCTTGGGGAGTGCACCACAGGGAAAAGGTCTAGGCAAAAACATCTGAAAGCTGTGGCCACCTCAGGTCCCAACAGAAAGACCTAGGGATTTTTAAATGATAACAACTAATAATTTGATACTGCAGTATCTGATAATGTAATAATATTTCAGTTCTTTGAGCTAACAGCTCTGTTGCAGGCTTAAATATGTTGCCACATTTTCCTTTACAAGCTTCTGTTTACATACAAGACCTGAACAATTGACCTGGTATTTTTCTGAATGAGAATTATTGTTGCTATGCTTTTTCAAAATGTGAAGTGGGTCACTATCCGAAATCCCTGTGCTTTCCAAGTATAGAATTTATTTGTAGAAGTGAGAAAATTTATTTTAAATAGTAATGTAAAATAGCTTTCAAATTTTCAGTGTTTTTAACAGATGATGGCAACCTCAGATGTAAGCCTTGAAGCTGTAATTTTCCTATTAGGCAGGAAGTTGGAAGTAACTGCTGTTTTTCAATAAGTAATAACCATCTAATAAACCCAGTGACCACAAAGCTGAACCACTTTTGTGCACCCACGCAAATACCCATAAAGTTGAGGAAGAATCCTTTATGTAAGAATTCTGCTCGTTGCTGTTCTTTGGGGTTTTTTCTCCAGTACTTTTCAAGAAAATCTTTTTTCTCCTGTGACGTCTTAGTTGGAGCAGCTGTGAATCCAAGAATGATGAGGCTCCACTTAACAAACATCTTTCTAGCTAGCTGCAGTGAACACAGCTGTCTGGAAGATTGATACAGTTCTGCTGCTGCATCGTGGCTTGCGTAGCTTGCTCTCAGAAACAGATTCATGTCATGATCATTAGAGTGTTCAATTCCAAATGCATCAGATTGAAATGTGGAATTAAAGATGAATTGTTTTGGCCAGCTAACACCGGGTGTTATGTAGGTAAATCTATGTAATGCCTTAGTTTATTATAAGCCTCAGTATACAAATTTAAATATATACATCTTATTTCAGACTTGGTTCATATATTTATCTATATATAGATTAAAATACCACAGCTGTGTTGGTTTTGTGGAAACCTTTGCAAGGTGCCAAGTCTGAAGCAGCCACTTTACCACTACTTCTGGCACACAAAAAAAATTTTTGTTATATCACAGGACCTCTGTGTAACGAAGCATAATAGTCTAATGTCCATTGCAGGATGAAAGAAGCAAGAGCTGCCGAAAGGATAAAAATGTCTTCCTCTTTCTGTTTATATATGTATTTGAAATAGAACCTGTATCCCAATGATGCTGGGTAGTGTGCTACTCATGGTTGAAGAGAAGATTAATGTTGGATAAGCCTATTGTGTTTTAATTTTCTTTGGATCTGAGTGAAGAATCCTCCATCTCCTGCAAAATCTGCATGTCACTTTATCCAGACAGACAGCGAGGAAAAGTTGCAAGCTGTTCCTGGTTGCTGGAATCAGACGATCATGGGACACATGATTCTGTATTGACTTGGGGAAGAACAGAACATGTTGGTCTCTTCTAGCAGCAAACTCCAGATGAGGAGCCAGAATCTCCACTGAAGTGCCATGAACATATTGTCACATTCAGAAAGAGTATTTTTCCCAGGCTTCTGAACTAGGAAGTTACTATGTTTGTTTGCTGTTACAGGAGCAATCTGAAATCCTAATCAGACATCCTCCTGCACTTCTTGCAGTACAAACAAATGATAGAATATAAAGTGTCTGACTTGGAAAATATAAATCCATATAACAGACAAGAGCCAACAGATCTGCTTTATAATCCAATTTGTGAAATGTGGAAAAAATTACTTTATTCAGATACAATGCTTTTCACCAAAATAGAACCATCTTGAGGAATAAATCAGTCTAACCACTTTGTTGTTAGTTACATTGCTGTTTCTTATTTACAGGAAAAATGATCAGAAGAAGGACCATAAATCAGCCATTTCAGGGTGACGGGAGGCCTTGCCCTTCTCAGATGGAGCAATTCAAACCCTGTCCAGTAAAACCTTGTTATCGATGGCAATACAGTCAATGGTCTGCATGCAAAGTAGAGGTAAAAGCCATACGGGACTTTGAAATTATGGAGCTTGTATATCTAGGCATATTTGTGATATGCTCAGATACCTGCTTTATAACACTGCAAACAATTTGCTGCCACCTCTCTTATACAAAAACTAAAGGTTTATTCTTAGAGTTGATATTTGTCAACAGATACAACAATGTCCTACAGATATTCAAAGTATAAATGTAAACTTTGGTACTCAAGCAGCATCTTTGCTAATAATTGAAATCCTTCTACTGTAAAAGAATATCTGTGGAAATAGATTGGCATCCTAGAAGAGACCTCCACTTGAGATACTGCTGTGGTTGCAATTCAAAGGCATAATTAGCTCCATACTTTAAGAAACAGTGGTAGCAGTCAGCACAATTTTTGGTTTGGGTTTTTGTTTGTTTGTTTGTTTCAGAAGTAAAGAACAATGTCTTCCCCCCCCCAGTGGAATAAATAAGTAGTTAAGCAAAAAATAATAGGAGACAGTGTGACATGTAGCACAGATCTAGTCTTTTGGCACTTTCTTCTGTCCAGTATCCATGTATGTCCTCCTTCCCCAGGATGCTCAATGTGGAGAAGGAACACGAGTGAGGAACATTTCCTGTGTGGTTTTTGATGGATCCATTGAAGACGTTGGCAAAGTAGTAGATGAAGAATTCTGTGGAGAAATAGAGCCTATTATAGATGGTAATAAGAAGATGATACTTGAGGAAACCTGCACTGTCCCTTGTCCAGGTAACAAAGCTATTCAAATAAATGTTGCATTTCAAGATTGGTTGGGTATCTTTACAGCTATCAGTGCCTAGCATTAGCCACAGGCCATTAAATCTTTTTCACATGCTTTACTGATTGGATTCATCCATCAGATGGCCAACAGAGTTACTTTCTGGTAGCGGCTTCATGACGATAAATCAATTAGAAAAAATGCCAGGTTTTAGATTTTATAAAAGACATGTCTTAGTCACAGATTGTGCCTAATAAGAATATATTTTTTCACAAAATCTTTTGAAATAAAACCTGCATTTATAAGAAAGTGTGTTGGTTTACAGCTGAATATTTGCTTTAAGTGCTTAGATCACCTAACAGCTTTATTAACACTTTTAACAGTGGCTAAGAACTTGATGTCTTTTACAAGTGGCTAAGGAAGCTAAGCTAGGGAGTTTTATTTTTTTGTTTAAAGGGGCTATTCCAAATTAAACTAATTTTGATGTCTGAGAAAATGTGAATGTTTCTAGCTGTTTAACTCGCTGGACATGACAGGCACTATCATTGCCCTTGTAGACTGAATCCAAAGGAGCTGTTATAAATGATCAGGTCCATGACCCTCATACTGAGAAGGATTAAGAGCCTATAACAGCTGTTTATTTTCCAGTAAAACTCCTCCAGTTCATTTCAAACTCTTATTTGTAGAATTTGAAGTATATTGCTGTTGTTCAGTAGATTCATTAGTAATGTATCTTCGGTTCTAATGTAGCTATCATTCCATACCAGCACTGTATTTGTTCTCTTGCAACTCTCCTCTTTCTCAGAATTTTTTTCCAGTTCATTTCAGATTGGACTGAAGGTAAAGTTGCCTCAATAAATAGAAAATAATCAAAACCAGAGAGGCTTCCATCACTGCTTTGTGCACAGCATTCCAATTGCATGATTTTTGCATATTTTTACTTATTAAATGAAAATTGGAAGAATAAAAAGCTTGTAGTTGTGTTTTCTTGTTAGTCAAATTTATAAAAAAAAATATAGCTGCTTACTGCTCGCTTTTAAAATTTTGCTGAGCAGGAACCTGTTCTTCAACAATCTCACATTTAGCCAGCAAAAATAACTGCCCCATGAGGATGTGCTAATGATACGCTGCAACTAATGTTTCCAAAAAGCACTACTTGTTTTCCTATTATGTATACATCAGTTCTTCAATTATTCATTTCTTTGCATGCTTTCCTAACGTTGGCAAATAAAATTCTTTCATTAATCAGGCATCTGGTCAACACAGTACTGATTATATCTGTCATCAGTATAATGCAAGGTAGCATGAATTTTTAATAGCTCTTTCACTGAAATAATGAGAACTAAGAGGTCTATTTATGAGTCTGTGCACAATCTAGTCCCATTTTCTACTGCAGTTTTAACAAAATGGTCTCTGTGTTGTACCTCAGATCTTCCTTAAATGTTCTTCAGCTGATCATGCTAATTAGTGTCATTAGTGTAATTTTATTTTTCAGTTTTACACTGTAAGATAACATTCTACAAATCTCTATTATCCTAACATGAAATAGCCAGAGCAGACATTTTAATCACCTTCCCATTTCCCTTTCTTGCAAAGAATGTTCCAGCAGTAGCTTCTACTGTCTGTTTAGAGAAATTCTGTATGAGGATAAGCAACAATCTTTTTAAAACTAGACAATGTTTTCTCTTTCTAAGATCAAAGAAGAATTGTGAACAAGATATATAAATTTAGTGTAAGGCATACAGTGCACAATACCCTAAAATTTATAAAAATCCAGACGTTGGGTGGAGTGTTACTCAGAAATTCAAAATGAGAGTGATCTTACGGAATGCTACAGGAAACTACCCTGCTTCAGAACAAATAGGCTTCTGTATAATCTTTTTATTACTATTTTCTACTGCACAGATATTCAGAGAATGTCAAAATATTATCTTCTCTAAGTATAAGTCTTGTTTAAGAAGAGGAATGAAAGGATCTATAAAGAGGGAAAATTAAGAAACCAGATTTGGACATTTTTTTCTAAAACATATTCAGTACGAAAAACTCTTCACATATGATGATCATTCATCTTATAAAATTGCTATTTGACAGGGGACTGTTACTTGAGAGAGTGGTCAGAATGGAGCCTTTGTCAGCTAACCTGTGTTAATGGTGAGGATCTCGGCTTTGGAGGGATACAAGTCCGATCTCGGGCAGTGATCATTCAGGAATTAGAGAATCAACATCTCTGTCCAGAACAGGCTTTGGAAACAAGACCATGCAATGGTAAGCACCAAAATACACATAAGGCCGCTTCCTGTAAGAAAAAAAATACAGAACAACAATAGTTTTGTTTTCTTCTGTTCATGGTATCAAATTTAGGCAAATATGGATTTGATAGATATAGAAATGCACTTAAATTTTTTGTTTTCCAGATATCAACTGTAAACAGAAAAACTTTCAAACGCTAACTATCATACGTTACCACTTTAAACAGAATCTTTGGAAAATTGATGATCCTTTTTTAATAATGAAATTTCTTTTTATGATATGGGAAAAAATAGTTGCCTTATCTGCTTGATAACATTAATAAAAAGAAATCTTTACATTTTGATACATACCAAATTTAGATTTCTCTCTACCCTTTGAATTGTTGTTAATCACATGACAATGACATTAAAAAGTCTCAGTCATGCTTATCGCTGATACGGGACAAAGTATCTAAGAAAAGTAATTTGCTGTACAGGCATTTTTTGTCCATTCAGAGGCCAGACAGATCAGGCAAAAAGGAATTTTATATTTTCAAGGGAGCTAAGGTGCAGAAGAACTTCATGATTTATCCCAGGCCATATGAGAGGTATACAGCAGAGCTGAGATATGAAGCCAGATGCAGCCCAGGCCACTTCTCCAAGCACTGGAGCATTGACTGAAGCTCAGCGTTACCAGGAAAGGAATCTGACTCCTAAATGAGTTTTGCGCAACAGATGGGCCACAACCATTATGAGGTTATTGGAAACATCTGTTTTGCCCATTAACTACATTAGGCTTACTTCACAAGCAGTGTGTTGCAACCATTATAGTTAGTGTCTGGGACACATCTGGTCTATTCTCTACGTATCCAATAAGTGCAGGAGACCTTGGGGCCTCCATGTGTGCAGTTCATCCTTCTAAGTTGCTGGGCGAAGGAGGAAGGGGCCTATTAGCCATAAAAGCCGTTAAACATAATGGGTATGGTCTACTGATGAGTGTGGCTGCCGCCAGTGGTAGCCTAAAATCTTGTCATCAGATTTCTTGAAAAGTGAATGTTCTCTGTGTAGATGGCCAATGCTATGAATACAAGTGGATGGCTAGCCCATGGAAGGGATCTTCTCGAACCGTGTGGTGCCAAAGGTCAGATGGTTTAAACGTCACAGGTAACTACTCTTTTTATATACACATAAAAGCCTGGAAAGCAGGTGGATAATGTCTTCTGCCAACTAATGGAAATACATTTTTTTTAAAGAATCTACTAAAAACACTTGTTCCTGATGTATGAATCAACGTGCTGTTGTCTTGAATCATTATGTTTTTGCGTCCTAAAGATGTAATTTCTTTTCCAGAATTATGCAGCATGTAATGCTAAAAGTAAATATAAATATTATCTCCTGTACTGGACCAGGAATGTTTTACATTGTATATTTTTTTTACCATAGACATCTTTACACTTCTAAATTTAGGGTTTCAGATTTCAAGCCCTACAACAAATAGAACTTTTATGTATTAAAGTTCATTTCAGAGCCTATACAGAGGCAGAGATGCAAAGCTTGATAATATCATGCATATATATCTCCTTAAAATTACAAAATACCAAATTTTAATAAATGTGCTAATATAAGTTTATTTATTTACTTCAATGACATAAACCTATAGCAGGATACTTCAGTGGACAGCTATGGGACGTAGTTACTTTTTGTGCAAACCAAAGCACAAAACCACCATGAATTAAGAATGACTGAGGCCTCCGAATTCAAGAAAATCTTCATACGTATCTATTTATATGAATTTATTTATCAGAATTAGGAATTAATTTAAGCTAAGAGTTATGAATTTGTTGTTTAAATAATTTTTATATCAGCCCAGGTGATAGTAAAAGAACCCCAGAGATTGTAAGCACATCCTCAATGCCAGCCACTGTCTGGTCAGTCACAGGAGGGGAGCTCTAATTCATGGACTGCCAATGCAATACTTCTTGATGGTGGAATCCACAACTACTGTCTGTTGTAACAGTACAAATAAAATATCTGTATTATTTTTACAAAGTTTTGAAATAATACTTAATAACCCAAAGTCTTTTTTGCAAGTGTCACTTTGTGCTGTAAAAATATTAAAAAGCATCATCTTCACGATGAATGCAGCAGGGCATTATTTATGCACCTTGATTGCTTCCTGCCTAGCTAAGATGCTTGTATGGTAAGTAAAACTCCAAGAATTCTTACTGAGATTCATATATGATATTATCTATTAAAGGTCCTACAGGATTTCAAAATAAATAGCATCTTGGCGATTATGCCTCTGAGATGTTAAAATCAGAATATATTCATAAATCACAGTCAGTCACATAAAAGTAATAGTTTGTTCTGATGTGACTGAATATAGCCATGTGATAAATTCCAGGAAAGATAAGTGTATGAATATGTGTTGTTGGCAGATTTTTCATGACAGGACCTCCTAGGCAGACTAACCTTGGACCTATATTGTATCTCTTTTTTCAAAGTTTGTTTGTACGTGGTTTTAAAGCTGTGGTAACTCCCTGATTTGAAATGAAGACTAGTGGAAAATTTCAGACAATGTAATCACCAGTTTCCATGCAATGCAAAACTATATTTTTTTTATACATTCCTGATAGTTTTCAAACAAAGCACTTAAGTATAATGTTCTGCGAGAACTTCTCTGGATGAAGCATACAGTCGTGAACCAGATTGTAATTTACATTTGAACATCTTTTTGAAAGTGGTTTGTATAAACTACAGTATTTAAGAGCTCAAACTGATAGATGCACATACACGGGTGATTTAAATGGAGATTACCTATTTTGATCTAGAATCAAAATCATAGTGTATTTTAATTCAGACATTATCAAATTTTTATTATGAGTCCTGTTGGTATTTTAAGGCCTTTATTTATTTACTCACTTGCATAATACTGTTGTGCTGAATAGTTCTTTTTTACTTGAAGGTGTTGTTTCCCATGGGCGATGAGGCAACTCTTTCCTTCTGCAGCTTCCTTGGATGACTGATATTTTATTACATAGATTCCCACAGGCATGTGATTTGTATGCGAGGATGTACGATTTTCCTTTCTGGGGGTGGGGAAAACTTATGGCAACCAGCAGGGTTTTCTTTGTTCTTCATCGGCCATCCCGTTAACACTTGGATCTACGTAACTACATCTAACTGCATCTGCTATGGTCATGACCAACCTCAACTATCAGGATTTCATCATCATATCACACCAGTATAAAAATGTGATTAATTTTGGACATGCAAGATAAGTCATCCTGTAGCAGTATAAATTTTAAACTACATGATGTATATTCCTCTTCTGTAAGCTAGAAGGAAGCCAGGTAAATTCAAACTGATTCTAACTGTATTTTAAAGTCATTCTGGCTGAAATGATAGTGAAAGCCTGATTGTGTGTATTGGTCCATAACAATAACTGCACTGTACATAAAGCTGTAGAAATGAGAACTAAGACTGTATAAAAAGGAAAAAGACTGAAACCCACTATATCATCAGTATCATAGCATTCAGTACATGCTTTACTGATAACACTTCTTTTCTTCCAAAAAATCTGTCTTAGACTAGCATGAAGTGTGGCTTCGTAAGTGGCAAAGCTATAGCATGTGTAAAAGTAACTACTGAGGAGCAGCAGAAAACAGGTATCCATTCATAAACTGGATGAGTAGTTTGTTTTCAGTTTAACAGGCAAAGATATAAATCAAAAATATGCTTTTATTTTCTTTGTGGCCACAGTTTTAATATGTAAGTCATAAGGAGGGCCCTAGAGAACCAAAATCTGTTCCCTCAAGCACAACAAAACATTTCAACTGTTTTTTGAGCAATTCACCAAAGGAACAAAGAGAAAAACAAAAGGTTCATTTGCCAAATATTAGTTCTTTAAAATGCACATGAATGTAAATACTGTGTAAATGTGCTATATCCTTCCTTTACCTATAAGAAAATACTTGATACCAATTATCCTTCACCTTGGAATAAGAGAAGGACTCTTAAATTCAAATTAGGAATAAAATTGTAATCCATTACATACTGTAGCAAGTAATGACATCAGTAATTTCATCAGTGGTGAGGTATTACCATGTCAAAATATGATTTTCTGTCCTACAGGGGGCTGTTTAGTGATGCGCCAACCAGATGCTGACAGGTCATGTAACCCACCGTGCAGTCAACCCCACGCTTACTGCAGTGAGGTATGTGCTACTGCATTGGAGCGTAAAACACCCCTGTGAGGGCTTCCCACACATCTCTCTGCATTACAAAGATTATGCCAACAAAAAGTATTTTCAGAGATTTTGCTAATTATTAATTTGTTAAAATCAACCTCAGACCATTTTCTACCTTTCAAATAAATGTTGAAAAATCTCTGTTGATTTGGTACGAACCTGCATAAAAATATATGAAGAGGTACTCTCCAGGCTAGCACTCATCAAAACAGTCTTCTCTTCCTGTCATCCATGTTGTTATGCTTTATGGCTCACAGAAAACTATGTTTTTTCTGCTACACAGTGTAAAACACTTGTTCCCTACAGACTAGAACGTGCAGTTGTGAAGAAGGATACACTGAAGTTATGTCCTCCGATGGCACACTTGAACAGTGTACTCTCATCCCAGTGGTGGTGATCCCCACCATGGAGGACAAAAAGGGAGATGTGAAAACCAGTCGAGCTGTGAACCCTACCCAGCCCTCCAGTAACCAGTCAGGACGAGGAAGGACCTGGTTTCTACAGCCTTTTGGGCCAGGTGAAGTCATGCAATGAGCAGTTCTTAATGCTAAGTACTGCTGCAGGGTCTGGCATTTACATTTTTGTGATGCTGAGGAAGAAAAGAAAAACCCTTAAGTGTTCATTTAAGAAGACAGGCATCTGCCCTGACTGAAAACAAAGGAAGAGACATAAGCAAACCCCTCAGCTGCTCCATCGATATATTTAATGAAATCTTGTATTGCAGAAGATTTCCTTTTAATCCCTTCTACCTGTTACAATTCACAGAAGCTTTTTGAAATGTGACTTTAGAAGGGGGTTGGCTGCAAAGGTGCAAGCCAGGATATTAGATTATGCTGTCTCAACCAATAATGCTGTTGACGGAGGGGTGAATAGGTAGCACTGAAGACTTCAAAGGGTAAGGGCTGCTTAAAATTTGCAGCTGTAGCATAAATTGTAGGAAAATAATCAGAATAGATATGCTAATGCTTTTCTGCCATATCCATATTTAAACTAATTCATGTTAGACAAGAGCTAACCATATTATTGATATTTAGCATAGACCTGCTCTAAGTGTCTATAGGCAATATTTGCTTTTATGATGGACCATATTCTTTAGAGCTGAGCAAGGACTTATGTGCAAGAGCGCCAAGAAATATATTATAAGACAGTTATCCCAATAAAAATACTTTATAAAGTCCATCATGTAATCAGATTTCAGTAAATATTTCCTGGTACTATTAAGCATTGAGATAAATAAAACTTTAATTAACAAAATACTTTCACATAGAGATATGATGCTTGTCCAAAATGTTAATGATATGAAGAGAGCAATTGGTTATCTTCTTAAGTGTCGTTTTAATCACATAGAGCTAAATATTCTAACACACTTGTGTCTTAGGGTATTCATTTCTTTCTAAAGCTTTTATGAATGTTTTTAATCTGAGAATTGAAAACAGTATCTTTAAATGCATAATCCCTAAAATGCTGCAAATTGAGAACTACAGCAGTACTTCTAATAAGCAGATTAAATCATGTTTGGGTTAGAAATACTTATGTTAACTCCCATTAGTCCTACTAGTATTTACTGTTATTTGTACTGTGATACTATATTTGATACCTGCAATAAAATGGTCTTTACGCCAATTAGTTATACTTTAATCCACAATAAAAAAAGAAAATCAAGCTTTTCTGGTCCTCCTTTAAAAAATAGCATCTTAGCAAATATGTTATCTTTTCCTCATTCTAGCTAGCTCCACCTGAAAATGCCAGAGGGTGGGCTGTAGCAGCCAGAGTGCTGACAATAAACAAATGTCAGACAGTCGTCTTCAACTATTTAGGAACATGGATGCTCATGTGAGCTCAGGCATGGTTTTTGGAGCAAGAAACAGTTGAGAGATTTCATGAAAACTTAACAATTTTCCAGTAATTCAAGTTAGGAAGGAAACATAGCTCAGCTCAGATAAAAACAACAGTATTCAATAGAACTAATATTTTATGCAGTGAAAGTATGAGCAAATGTGGAAGAAAGTGAAAATTTTGCACTTCAGATTAGATTTATGCTTGATTGTTTTAAGTCCAGGATTGGGTATCTATTGGAAAGGTTTTGATTTACTCCAGCATGATTATTCCTTTCCTCAAAGTTTCTAAGTCCAGATTTAAAATAGTTCTTTCACTGTCTTCAACAAATTACATTGCAGTTCCAGAAAAGAAGGTATTAAAACTATCCTCTTCAGGTGTCTGTGCTGATGTGCTACCCAAAACAGATGAGTTTGTGATGCCGATTCCCTTGTATACTTAGAAATAATCTGTCCAGGGAGAATTCAGAAAGCCTGAGTTAGATGCCTGTAGTTGCACAACAGGAAAAACCTCATTAACAGAGTTCCCTGCTTTGACAAAAATAAATAAATACATACACAAGGTAATGCCAGCCTTTTAGTCAAGAAGATAATACTATTATAAAACAAGCAAACCCAAAAGAACCTGAAACCCCTTATATTTACCAATGGAAATAAGCCAAGGAGAGAAGAAACTAACCTATTTAGCAGTGCTGAAGTCTGAATTCCTCTCATTCGTATTATCATATCATTGGATATGTCAGGTCAAATCTACTGTTCAATTAATCTTTAATGGATCAGCTATTTCAGTTATATCAGTTATTATCAGTTATAATGTTTCATTAGGTTGATTAATGTAACAAAGCTAAAATGTTTTTATATTGATTAGTCTCAAACAAGTTGTCCACATGACTGCAAGACTTTGCATTGCTAGAGAACAGAGAGCCTGGACTTAACTGCACAGCAGTAGAGAGCACTACTGTGAATCTCAGCAAAGTCAGTCTGACTAATTTTTGTTATTATTACATTGTAGAAACATCAACTGCATTGATAATGCCTTTTTGTTCTACAGAGGTATCAGGAAGCAATAAGTATTTGGTCAGAAAAATTGTAGCTGTGTTTGCTTACAGCGAAAATATGCACGACTTCATGAAATAAAAATTTTGCCCTTTGTAAATGAAATAATTAAGCTTATGAGTAAAAAAATGTTTTCAAAAAGCCATTTAGAAATTTGCAAAATTAGTCAGATAAAAGTAGTGAGTCAAACAATACGTACTGGCCTGGGGTTGTGACATACTCATTTGGGGTTCAGAGCAAAACCTCACAGACAGTCACACCTGTTCTTCCCTCATTTTCCTGGGGTAAGTGAGTGCACCTAGGATCAAGGCAAGCAGGAGAGTGGGATGTATACCTCAGCCTGCAAGGACATCGTGTCCAAAATACAGACTGCAGGGGCTGTGCATAGGTACAGTCCTTATTAACTTATTAATATAGTTCTATTTATGAGCATGGGTTGGCTTTTTTGGTGTATTTTTGCTTGTTCTGTGAGGGGAAGATGTTTTATAACAACAAAACTTGCATTTGGTAGGGGAAGAAATTGAAAAATTATTACTTTATGCAGTAGTGAAAGTTGTGTATGTGCAGTTAAGGTATGGATGAGATAAAACATGCTAAAGGTATTTAAAAACATAAAATTAAATAGCAACAAGAATGAAAATAACAGGCAGATTGATTTACCGGAGCTAGAATGGAAAGTGATGCTAACGGAATAAATGAGCCCCAGGCTGACCTGCTGCCCTGCGATCACGCTGAAGGATTGTCCGCTACCAGCAGGCCCAGAGGCTGGCTTTCTGGGGGTCTCGCTTGCTGCCTTTGCCCCACATCTTGGCTCCATTCAGATTATCCAGACTTTGGCTGAAAGGCGAAACACAAGTGCACAGAGAAGCTATTGCTCAGTTGTTTAATAGTATTTACTCTTATTAAGCTGTACTTGCTAGTGAAGACATTTATTTTGGATTATAAAAGTATTTCTATACTATATCAGAACTAATAATTCAACAAGACCAACTCAAGCACTACTGACTAACATTCATTCCTTTTAGATGGGAGGCTGAAGACCTGGGTTTATGGTGTAGCTGCTGGTGCATTTGTTTTACTCATCTTTATTGTTTCTATGATCTATCTAGCCTGGTGAGTTCTTTCATTATTTACAAACAAGCAGTCCCACACAGACTGTAATGCAAGCGTTTACATATGCTGCTGTAGAAACTGCAGGCACTTCTGTGAACTGCAGTGTTTAATTTTCCATATCCTTTTGTCCAAGCTCAGGTTGGTGGACTCTGGTTTTAGTCTAGATGATGGATAAACACATGCTCTCCTGAGGTTAGAACTTCTTACAAATATGGGGTAGCTTAGTGTATAGTTTATTTTTGCTCCGTTTCTCTCTGTTAAGAATGTACTGTGTCCATGATAATTTCATTGTGTCTGTATCACAAAATGCAGAGCGAAATAGCACGAAGGAAATTTAGTAATCAGGCAAGTCAGAGTTGATATTTGGCAGGATATGGAGGTACACAACCAAAAAAAGTCTGAAAACTTTCTCATGTGTTTTTCATACATGAAATAATATTTTGTTGAAAAATCGTAATGCATGTGGAAGCAAAGTTTTTTTGCAAGAACAAGTCACCTTTGAGAATGCTCTCCCTGAAGTTTTCTAGGTCCTGTTTGGAATTTCTGATCCAAATGACTGTGCAGGTGGAAGGTGAGGGAAGTGTGGTCATACACGTCAGGCTCTTGGCTGTACTGCATTAGTAGGCATTTGGGGGGCTTCTGGATTTGTTTGTTTTTTAGTAAACGTTCCCCAAAATCTCACTTATGTCTAAGTAAGGAACAAAATCTTTTCTTTTTTGAGGAAAAGAAAATCCGTTAACATACAACTCCACTGGAGGTTCTTCGGCCTGGAATCTGTGGCCACTGCAAGCCACTGTAACAACTGGTTTGGTAACAAAGATTTAGATTTGGGCAGCCTAATTGACATAGCTGAGATGTAAGATTTTGGACGAGACTGAGGATGGACAGGCCTGATTTAAAGAAATGCTTATATTACACTCTAAAAGAAGACAAGTACTAAAGCACGCATAAACATGCATTTTCCTTTGGCTTGATAATTTTTTAAAACTATATCAAATGGATTGGAAATACTGCTGGATTAAAATCTAATTCAAGGCTAGACAGGGAATGGTTATGGTTAACAACCATATCCCTGCTATTTATGACTGGTTTGTTTATAACATCTAGAATTAACTGTAGTCATTCCAGCAAGTATAATGAGATAAAACTAATCAAAAGATGGAACTTTCCTGTGGAAACCCTTGATGTGTCAAGAGAGGTTAAGATTTGAGTCATATAATTTAAAAGAACCTGATTGCGGCTTTGATACATGACCAAATATTGCACTGCAGGCTCTGGGTTCTTCTGAAAATGGACTGATCTTGCAGGATTACCTGCCAAGGATTTCATCAAGTCACATCAGCACCGTAACAGCCTGTTTCTGAACAACTGAGCTTTCAATTAGATGTTGCTTTGGGTTGATGAAGAGATCATTACTGATCCAAGTGAAGGTTTTAGGCTTATGGCTTTTACAAATGAACAACCAAATGCATTCTCTTAAAACAACACACTCATCTTTCATTTAAGATTGAAATCCATCTTTGCTATGTTATTAGTTTCTTGTTCTATTTACAAATTATCTTATTGTTTCAGCAAAAAGCCAAAGAAGCCCCAGAGAAGGCAGAACAACCGACTGAAACCTTTAACCTTGGCTTATGATGGAGATGCAGATATGTAAAATGTAACTTCTCATGGTGACAAATGGAGTCTAAATTAATGGATTGAAATCAGAAGGTATCCAAAGCCACAGGGATTTTCTATGGAGTGGATTAAGTGTTTTGACTTTTTCTTTTTTGTAACTGCGCCATAGATAAAGAAGGATGGATTTCATAATGCCTATGGATATTCAAGGTATTATTGCTTTCCTTTAGACCATCAGCACTGAGAAATCTGGCAGAATCACGTTAATAGACACTGCAGTTGGAGATTTGTGGTCTTTCCTCAATCTTACAAACTATAAGCACCACTTCTGTCTCCAGAATACTGTAGCTGACATAGTATTAACAGTTGAAAGCCCCTGCAACATTAACCAAGTATAATCAGTACGCATGAAGAGTTTGTACCAAGCTGTCTATGACTCTTTATATTCGAGCATAACATATATACTCAGTTGAATCATATGTATTACTCTATCAGGTTATATACTTGTTAAAGAGCATTTTAGTGCTTAGTACAATATTAACTTTTAACTGGGATTAACCCACTGAGCAAGTTCAACAGTTTGCCAGTTGATGATAACTTGTGTTAACCTGCATTTCAGAGGGCAATGACTCACTTGCAAAATTCTGTCCTGTTATCACTCCAAAGTATAAAAGCCTCGTATGTACATCCAGAAAGGAGGCATTCTCAGATTCAGTATTTTCTAGCGGTTGCTGTCTGGAAAAAGAATACCCATTGTAAATGTTACAATACGTTTCTACTTCCTCTAACTCAAACTGTTGCCTGCATCTTTTTTGCTACATGTAAGGCAAATTTTTGCACTATATTAGTGCAGCATGATATGCACTTAACTAGTATTGCCATAGAAACTGCCTCTTTTCAGAAAGGATGATGATGTATCTTGTGCAAGGAGTGTCAAGTAGACAGGTCTTGAATCCTGAAGAGAGTAGCGTTCGGTTTGGACTGCGACTGGATGGAATTGGCTAACGACGTGTACTGTACACACCGTTCCTCGTCACAGCAGCCATTTGTAGTCTATATCATGGCAGTAATACAAGTGTCTAGTTTCTTGCCCCATCTACCTATACTGGTATAGATTGTCCTGTTGGTTTCTAATTGTACTTTGAAGGCTGTTTATGACTAGATTTTTTATATTTGTTAACTTTGTTAGAAAAAAACAGAAAAGAAAAAGAAAAGTGGTTGCCCTGTAATCTTGAGTGACATACTGACTGTCTAAAAAGGTATTCTGATCATTTGTTCAACTAAAATAAAATGGTTTTGCTTTTTTTTTCCTGCCGCTAGTGAAAGCATTTTCGCTGTTGCTGACAGTGCAATACTCAGAGCCCTTTTGTCTTTTCTAATTAGGATAATTGGATAGACTCTTTTAATTATTCAGTTAAACTCTTGAGTGTACTGGCAAGTAAACAATAAGACCAATAGTTCTGGCATTTTAATACTCATGACTTTTTTAAAAACTCTGACAGTATAAAAACTTACTGTTAACCTCTTCCATGCTTATGGCGTTTCAGTGTTACGCTTCCGACATGAAGCTCATTGACTTGCCACTTTATCTACATGCCTGTTACAGATGTGATTCGTCACCTGAGAAAGGTTATTCTCATCAAATGGCTTCTATGTGTAGCCTGAACATATAAGTGACTGTGCCACTACTAAGCAATACAAAACTTTATCAGGCAACCTCTCAAAAATAATTGTTATATAAAGTTCAATATTAGGTTCTCAGGTCTTTTTTATAACCTAAACCATTTCTGCCTACTCATGACGTTATTTACTCAAGAAGCACCAGTTTTTGCATACTGAATAAAACTGTAGCTTTGCGAACTTTGGCCCAGACCCACTGAAATCGATGACAAGACTCTTGTGGACATCAATGGGTAATATCGGTCCTTAAAAATACACACTTTTGTTCCACGTAGAATAATTCTTGGAACCAATGTGCATTTTGTGAATGTTCAAGAGAGATTACGGTCCTACTTTAACTTAGCTGACTTACTTATATTACCAGTGTGGTGTTACTGCATCAAGAAAATGATCTTCCTCCCACTGCATAAGTATTCCCCAAATGGCAATGATGAGCAGAGAGGGACAGCAGTAACAATCTTTTGTACAGGTTTAATTTCTCATTTTATATCTTGATCTGGCCCCAGCCGGTGAAGTGCCATGGCCTTCTTGCCACAGCAGTGGTTCATTCATATACGTGTTGCAGGACTGGGGGCTTCAGTCTTACATTGCTTTGTAAAGATCCATAGGAAAAAAACCCAAATCTTGATTAATTTAATTACTTCGGCATTCTTGAGTAGAAAACAAGAAAAACCTAGTTGATACCTATTTTATCAGACATACAAAAAATAACGTGGAAAAGTTATAAAGTTTTAAAGAATGGTAACTATCATGTGGAGACAAAAAGCTTAATCATTATTTCTGTGCTTTTAAAAGTCTGATTCTGTGTTGTCAAATAGTATTGGACCAATAGGGAATTGAGGGAACGGGGTTTCTTTCATTGGCAATGAGTCCTCTTTATTTATTATACTGGCTGGTCTTAGCAGGAGCTGTTGCCTAGTTCTTGCCTTGAAGATTTTTATGTCCTAAATCTAAGAATTTAATAACTTGAAGTTAAAGGTATGCCATCTCCTTTTTCTCGCTGTATGAAATGGACAAATGAAGAAAGAGATAGGAGGGGTTTTTTAAGTATGTTTGGCCTTTGAAATCCATGCAAGTATTTTAGTATGTGTTACATTTTATATCTGGTCAGTGAATTTTGCTGGTGCACATCTGCATCTAGTGCAGTGCTGTACTAGTGCTGCATTTAAAATCTACAGTGCTTTTTTTTTTTTTTTTAATGAACAAAGTGCACAGAAATTTGAAGCCAGAAGGGCTTCCCTCGTTATCAAGAAAAACAAAATTAGGCTATAAGGACAGCTGAAATTATATGTAAAGCTGAAAGTTGCAAAAGTGATTAAGCCCTTTAGCATTGAAACAGAAATAAATAATAGGTGAATTATCAGTTTAGAATGAAAAGCAATTTGCTTTAAAAATCAGAGTGCTTCTACAAATCCAGTGCCTAAAGCAGCCACTACTGTAGATTGTTAGTTTGTGAAAGTAATGTTTCCAGTGATCAAATAAACCATTCGGAAAATAGCAAAGTAGACATTTTCCTGTTGATGTGGTGGTTTGTATTTTCCTTTCTAAATCTGTAGTTTCTAGATTACTGTGTCTGCTTTGAGTCCTGGAGCAGTTCCTTTTTGAAGCTTTAGTGCAACTGCACTAGCTTGTTTATATTTGATATAAAGCATCAATTTTGAAACTCCCTTTCTCCTGCCAAAATGTAATAAAGTTTGTTTTCCAATATTACAATCTGAAGAGTCCAATTTAAAAACTCTGTGTATAAATCACTGTAAAATATACCTTGAATGAAATGGAAATCTGTCTTTTTACCTTTATGTAAATTGTGCTCACCCAAAGTTAAGAGTTTATTTTGCCTAACTTAATTTACTTGAATATTTATTTTGTAGAACAAGGAGGCAGCTGTCTGAGGAATGTTTACCTTTTTTTTGTTAATGTTAATTTGTAAATTGTGTAATGCATTTTTATTTTTTAAATTATGTATATTTCTTTTTTAATGCACAAAATGTTTACGTACAACTACTGCAAATTTGTGTATATTGTCACTAAGCTTTATTCAGTTAATACAGATGATATGAAAATGTAACAAATCTTACATTTTCATCTGGGTTATTTTTACATAACTGATGTATTGCTCACAATAAATATAAACACAAAATCATTTCATGTCTTTTTTTAACAGATGTAGTGTATACTATGCTGGGATAGTTAACAATAAAAGCCAGATCCCTAAAATACGACCACCTTTTAAATGGTCTCTTTTTCTGAAAGAAATTAGCCTATATACCCTTGTTAAAATTAGGATTTCTCTTTAAAAAGAAAGAAAAATACTTTCTAATGTTAAGGTAACTATCAAAGCCCACTGCTACAGTCCTGTTGACATAGAAATTTACAATGCTTATTTACTTCATCAATTAAATATCCAGTAAATCCAATAAATCAATTGTGTCTTAAATTTTCTTCCTTAATTGCCATTTTTAGGTCAGGAAGAATAACCCATCTGTGGAGAATAAGGGGTGGATCAAGGTCTCACTAAAAGACATCTATTCACTTCAGTGAAGCTGAATCTGTCTGTGTCCCTGTACAAGAAGGAACAGGGAACAAAATCCCCCTCCTGCAAATAAACAAACATGCCCAATGCAATCAATAAATTTGTCCTTTACATTCCAGTTGTTGAATAACTGTTACCAAATTCACTCTAATTTCTTCTAGAATCAAGAATTTGTTGTTGATTACCTAGGACGAAAAGTGACTCTGCATTTGTTTTCATAATTGACCCTATTCTGTCTCTGTGCTCTCCAAAACTCAAGTTTTCCATGTCCGTTTCTGCAGCATATATTTACACATCAGTTCATGGGGTTTTGTTCAATTTCATTAGTTATTACCTCCCCAGGAACCTTTCCAGGCTAACCCTTAAAAGGTTTAAACCCAATTTTGAGAGCACACAACTCTGATTTTAGAGACATTTCAGGATTTTCAAAAGTATCTCCTCCCTACATTTTCTCTTGCTGAAATCCACAGAAAAATAACAGAAGCATTGGGCTTGTCTTCCCACCTGCAATTTAATAGAGGAATTGTTTAGATCATTTAAAGTTGGTTAATTCCGTACAGGCAGAATTCTACAAACAAGTAAAAAAGATACTTGTGAGAAGAAAATTAAAATTCTCATTTAAATTCTGCAGAAGAGAATTACCTATGGTATGCTAATGAAGATCATAAGGTCTTCACATTCAGTAAAGAAAACATACAGTAGGACTTTGGCAATTGGTTGTGAGACTTCTAGAGTAATGGCTTACGGATTGGGAAATGTATTCTTTATTTAGAAAAACAAAACCAGGAGAATACAATTTTCCAATACAAGTATAATGAAAGGAA